AAGTTAGAATGGGGAAACATGGAAAGCATTTTGTGCCCACCCATATTACAGTTTTAAAACATCACATATACTACAAATTACTAGTTAGCAATTTGTAAATTAGTGGTGTTTGCTGTCCTAGTGTTTGCTATCATTAGGTGAGGTGTCTGTCTGTCTCTGTCTGTCTGTCTATCTATCTATCTATCTATCTATCTATAAAATGTAAATGTGTAAATGAAAAGTAAAATTGTGACATTTTTCAAAACAAGTGAGCTCATTTTATCACAAAATTGTCACTGTAGTAATGCCTTAAGTTAATTACTTTTTCGTATGATGTACCTCATTAATTAATTGACTATGAATACTGTCTATCTATCTATCTATCTATCTATCTATCTATCTATAAAATGTAAATGAAAAAGTAAAATTGTGACATTTTTCAAAACAAGTGAGCTCATTTTATCACAAAATTGTCACTGTAGTAATGCCTTAAGTTAATTACTTTTTCGTATGATGTACCTCATTAATTAATTGACTATGAATAAATTACAAAATAGTATCAGTAAATGTAATTTTTAATTAAAACTATTCAAAAACAGTTTTTACCATAGTATATAAGAAATTACTATATTATAGAAATGAAAATCATCATAAAAATATTGATAAAACACAATACAAGATGCATTAAAATAATGAAAATTAAGGATAAAATGCGCTAATAGTAGACCTTTATTTTGTTTATACAAAATAAGTATAAACAAAACAAAAAATATTTTGCACTGTATATTGATCTAGGTATGGGGGCTTTTGTAACCACTCAGAATAACCTAGCAACACCCTAGAAACCACCCACAATACCCTACCATGACCAGCACCACTCAAATTTTTGTAAAAATGTAGATAATCATCCTTATATAAAGAAAAATATAAATAAACACAAATGTTTCCTGCAAGTATACAAGATACACTGAGATTTTTATCTAAAATCATCACTTGAAAAGCACTATTTCCAAAGCCCCAGGGTTCCAGTACACCCTGGAAATATATACCTGTATAATGAATAATGTTCCTATAAAACACATTCAAAAGTATTATTACCAGAACTCAACACTTTTCTCAATAGACTGACTTTCAAAACATTGCATATCCCACAGAGCGAGATTTGATTCGAGTCACAGCGAGTTATAGCGAAGTCCAGGTTATTCTGATCACCCCATGTATGTATGATTCCAATCTGATTTCCTTTGAGAGTCGGACAACCTTGAACCAGAGGAATCCTGTTTCTCTGTCACACTGCGGCTCTTTCTGCCCACGCTCCGCCATCTACTGCAAGCTTCCAAAACAAGTGTGACAAACCTCTTACTTACAGACACAAACTCAGCCTCGCTTTCCCACACCTCTAACTCTACGCCCTGCCAAGATGATCAAGTTTCTCCCCGAGTTTCTGCGAGCACCACCCCCGGCCTCAGTACAAACAGACGTCTGCGCTCATCTCCACCCTCGCCGCTAACCCTGGCTCCTCCGCGCTCCATTCACCCAGCCAAGACGAAGCGAATTTCAGCTCAGGCTTTACAGACCATCTCAATTGAGGGTGCAGAGAAGAGGCAGAAACTGAGAGGGAACAAAAAATATGGAAAGCGAAGCAGTGGGGCTGCAAATCCATTCCTGTCTTAGCGCATTGCAAGCATCGCACTTCCCTTAGGACTACCATCAACCACTGCTAAACTGGGACAGAAAGAGAGCGAAAGAGCTTATTGACGGCCACTAAATTTTTGTGACGTAGCTAAATAGCATCAGATGGTGTCACACCAGAAATGAGAACCAACACTATTAAATTTCCATAGCCCTTGTTACAAGCTCTGAATTAAGTTTTAATAGCTTACCGTGGCTTAATCTGTTGTCTGTTCATCAACAAAGATTTTGATTTACGTGTCAAAAGCATTTTTTGCAGCAATGCCATGGCATAGAAGAACTTGTCCTTTTTTGGTTCCCCAAAGAACCTTTCAGCAAATAGTTCTTAAAAGAACCATGATTTTCATTTTAATAATTTTTAATAATCTAAAAGACGTTTTAATAATCTAAAGAATCTTTTCCACTATAAAGAACATTTTTGGAATGGAAAGGTCCCATGGATGTTAAAGGTTCCAAATGGAACCATCATTGCCAATAAAGAACCTTTATTTTAAAGAGTAAAAGGCGTAATGTCTTTACAGCGTCCTTGACAGTAATGTCCTTAAGTCAGTATAAGACCGTGGCAACTGTTCATGTTGTTTCAAGGAAGTTAATTATATAAAGTAAAAAAATTCATTAAACAACTCTCTTATCTATCAGAAGTGTAAATGAATTAGGCTTTCAAAATCAAAGGTTTCCATTAATTAAAGGTAGATGTGTACATTTCAAATCCAATTAAAAGTATAAAGCTTGGGGTCTAAAAATGAAATCTCATCGCTGCATTTCCCCTAAAACACAAATTTTCCAAAACAGCATGGGGAAGCCTAAATGAAAATGGAACTTGTTCACAAAAAGACATAGCATTGACAATTATTTCACAACTCAAGCATAGGATGGATCTAACTGCACATAAACCATCAAACTAGACGTGAATTAAATGTGATATTCTTAGCAAAAGAGAAGGGCTTTTACATCGTTTACAAAGAAATTCTCAATCCAAGCAACTTCCTCACTCACGCCTCTCGAAGCCACTCTAACGCTGCAATTTTACTAAAATGCCTCCATTATTTTTCAGGCACGAGACAACTGTTCTTTGCTATTCAAACAATCCCACAGTTGTGTTGATGATGGGTCTTATTATACAGCATGCTGGAAACATGGAGTCAACTGCAAACACTGTAGATGTCATAAATGGCAGCAAGTTCACAACAGTTTCTGCATTGTGGACTAAACATTCATGATAAACCCAGAGCAAGATGCTATCTGTGTCCTCACTGGATTTTATTTTTTATAAGGAAATTGTTGCTGCTGTTGAAGTATTTTATTTTTATTTCATTTCTGAACAGATTGAATTTTGCTGTAGATTAACGCAGATGAGAATTAGTTTCACAGCCGGCAAGTGACCTTCAACATTGAAGAATAGTTCAAATAATGTCAGTTGTTGAAGCAATGTTTAAAAAATGTTGATACAATGTTTATGCTAATGGTTGTGAAAAGGTTAACAAAATACTTTTGAATCAACATTGAAGTTTGAACAAGATCTGAAAATTAAGCAAGTTGAAACGACGGCAGAATATCAATGTTGATTTGATTCGTGAAATCCAAACAAAATCCAACAGTGATTCAACCTTGATCTATGACAGTGATTAAACTGTAAATAAACATTAAAATGCCGAATTGGTCAAATTAAAGGGACAGTTTACCCAAAAATGTCAATTCTACCATCATTTACTCTCATGTCAGCAAAAGATAGGACAATGTTCTCCAGCTGAAACTTTTATGGTTGTAGTTGTCGCCAGGGAGGCCGTATTAACAGGATACTTTATATAATGCGAGCTGTCACCAAACCCGATGTTCAGAGGGGCCGAGGTAGGGTACGCCAGGGTGGAGGAGCTAGAGACATTATCTTGATGAAGCTGTGATCAATACAGCCAGAGTAAACCAATGAAAACCAGATAGCATCTCTTTTAATTGAGATTAGACTCTGCAAGTTCAACGTGTGCCCATCTGATTTAAGAGACGGCTCGGTCTCCCCAGTTGACTCTTCGTGGTGGGAATCAATTATGGCTTCTTCTCTGACATGCGACCTCAGAGAGCCGAGATCTGGACTTCAGGTGTTGTAGAGAAGGGGGAGATCGTTGCCTGTTCTCTATTGGGTTTCATGTCTGTGGATACATACCTCCTTTTCTACAAATTTTCTTGCCGGGTTTTCTGGCACATTCCTTGGATATTCTTTTTACTGCAAAATGAATAGAAGACTAAAAAATAACATGGGAGTCCGTTATGGACATCAGGAGCATGCAACAGCACAACTTGACTGAAAGAGGAAGAGAAGAGTTTAAAGAGAAGTAGTTCTCTGACTTAAAACATCATTATCATCATGAGTACTGCACAAAATATTCCCCCTTTATGGTTAATTTATAGGTTGTTTACACTAAAGTGTGTGTCTGTATAACAAGTAAAGGAAGGGAAAGAAAACCCGACCACTTAAAATAGACGTGATGCAGCACACAGAGAGATTTGCATGTGCAGGGGATGGTGGGAAGGTTAGGACACACGTACAGCCTCACTCACACTCACACTCGCTGCAGCGGCATGCATCGGACATGCAGATATCATGCAATTTTTTTTTTTCTGCTGCACTCACTACATTCTGCACAAAGGAAACTGACACAGTGAGATGACAAAGACAGGTCTGTCCGTCCTGCCCACACATTAACAGCCGAGATCTGGACTTCAGGTGTTGTAGAGAAGGGGGAGATCGTTGCCTGTTCTCTATTGGGTTTCATGTCTGTGGATACATACCTCCTTTTCTACAAATTTTCTTGCCGGGTTTTCTGGCACATTCCTTGGATATTCTTTTTACTGCAAAATGAATAGAAGACTAAAAAATAACATGGGAGTCCGTTATGGACATCAGGAGCATGCAACAGCACAACTTGACTGAAAGAGGAAGAGAAGAGTTTAAAGAGAAGTAGTTCTCTGACTTAAAACATCATTATCATCATGAGTACTGCACAAAATATTCCCCCTTTATGGTTAATTTATAGGTTGTTTACACTAAAGTGTGTGTCTGTATAACAAGTAAAGGAAGGGAAAGAAAACCCGACCACTTAAAATAGACGTGATGCAGCACACAGAGAGATTTGCATGTGCAGGGGATGGTGGGAAGGTTAGGACACACGTACAGCCTCACTCACACTCACACTCGCTGCAGCGGCATGCATCGGACATGCAGATATCATGCAATTTTTTTTTTTCCGCTGCACTCACTACATTCTGCACAAAGGAAACTGACACAGTGAGATGACAAAGACAGGTCTGTCCGTCCTGCCCACACATTAACTCACCATCCTCCATTGGCACGTATATGTTTAAGAATAAGCAATCCTCGCTCTGGTCCTGTACGTAAGACGAGACCACTTCAACACTGTTGGTGAACCAAACCGGCAGCATAACGTCCGGTAGCCTGCCCTCCAGCAGGGTTTGGGGACATACGGGGCCAAACTGAGTTGCGTTACGGATATCTGACCATGAAACAGGCGGCTCGGGCGGTTGGAAGCGCCTTTCGCCTGTGGGAGGTGCTGCGTAGGGGACACCCAGGAACTGGATGACAGGCCCCAGAATCTCATTGTTGAGTTCCTTTTTGAATCCCCGCAGTTTGCCGTAAGTTGTAGTGACAACGGGGTCCATTTCGTCCAGTTTTTGCGAGGCTGCCAGCTGGGTGTGCAGGGCCAAGCCTAATATCCAACACAAGAACGGCAGATCCAGGCTAGCACTGAGGCCTAGCCGCGGACACATGGCCCTCCAGACACCGCCCAGGCGGTTTGGCTGTTGGAAGGGCATGTTCAATCCTCTTCACGCTTGTCCCGCAAAGAGCGGATGTACTAGTTTATATCCACTTGCACGAAAGAAAAGATCAAACCCAAGGTGCCAGATGTTCCGAGAGCGAAGCTGTCAAAAATCTCAAAGCCTCTTTGCATTGCAAGTATTCCCACATGGATTTAAATACGGATCCGAGCAACATCTTGATCAAGACCAGCTATTCGTCAGGTCCCATCCTATTGACAACGAAGCTTTCCATCCTGGCTATGTACGGGGCAGGGGTGGGGGAGGCATTTGCGGCAGGTTGTCCACAGATAAATCAAGCCCGGTGCAGTAGTTGGTCTATATCCTGCTGGAATTAAAAAACAAACAAAAAAAATTAGTGGTGAGACAGATGGGAGAACTCTGCTTTATTGGCGTCTGTGATCTTGTGTGCCTGCTATCCAGCAGGATGTTCTAGAATCCCAGCTCATACAGACACATCCAGACAGTTAAGCAGAGTCTCGGCCACCGCTAAATCAAAGGCTGAAGTGATTATACAGTACAATAAAGCAGGACTTACGATACAGTATTGAAACACTTTGTCAGGGGGGATTCTGGGGTTTAACACAGGTGTTGTAAAAGATAAACCTTTTTCAAATATCACAAATCATTAATTCATAAATATCATTACATTTTACAATCTGAAGTTGCCTAGCCATAGTTAAAAGCCAAAAAAAATAATAATAATTCACTGACCCAGCAGTTTCAACCAAGTAATCAACAAAATGTCCTGTTGTTTGTCAAGATCATGCCTGGCTTGGACAAAATCTGCTCATTTACATTACTGCAAATCCAGATAAACATAAAAAATAGGGGTGCTCCGATTGATCGGCTATGTATCGCTATCGGCTGATAATCGCTTAGGGGATTTTTACAAAGCTCATCTGTCTGAAAAGCGAGGTGTGCTCTGATTGGCCAGCCATCCAGTACATTGTGATTGGCCGAATACCTCAAGCTTCTGACGGAAATGTTACGCCCCTACCATATTGTGATGCCTTGTACCGGCCGGAGCGACGAGACAAAAACATTAAAACCCATTATAAACGAGGCATTTGTTGCATCCAGTGGGGACATAATTACGGATTATAATGACTTAAACTGTCTTTTTACGCGTTGC